ACCAGGCACGCCCAGTCGCCCCCCCGTCCACTGTGGGACGCCGAGAGCCGCATCCGCGCCCAGAGTTCGGCAACCAACAAGGATGCCCTTCCCGGACCCCGGAAACGAAACTCCCGGCCACCACATCCCACCACTGAGGTCAGGGACCCCAAGCCAGGATGCACGCCTTAAAAGGACCATCACCCCAGACTCAAGGTCCCCGTCCCCGTCCCTCAATCCCTCACGGGGCACTAACGCAGCAGGAGCACCCGCCACGCAGCGCGCCGATAAGTTCCCATGTTGGAGCACCCACAAAGTGCACGAAGGGAGGAATAGAAATCCTCCCTAACGGCTCCGTGCAAGCCGGGCGAGATTGAAGTCAGGGCCGCCAACCCCTATGCGCATCAAGGCCAAAGTGCCCGGAGGGAGCGCAACCCCCTTCTCGTGATGTCCGCCCACGACGACTCGGCATTACTCGCATACTCGCTACTCACGGGCCCGAGGGCCGCTTTCGTTTTCGTTTTCAAATCCGAAGCCGCCGCCCACAGGCGGACCCAGGGAAGTGCAATGGTGCGCTCTTAGACCCCTCAACCCGAAGGAAGAGGGGAGCTCCTCCACCACGACAAGGTGGCGCACCATCGGAGGAGAACCTAACCTAACCTAACCTAACCTAACCTAACCTAACCTAACCTAACCTAACCTAACCTAACCTAACCTAACCTAACCTAACCTAACCTAACCTAACCTAACCTAACCTAACCTTTTTTTTTTTTTTTTTTTTTTTTTTTTTTTTTTTTTTACCATGCGGGGAGGGAGGTGGGAATGCAGTGACGCAGACCCATGGGGCCGTGCCCATGGGTACTGTTGGACTCCGGGGAAGTCTATTCCCCGCCTACCAACTAAACCCACCCCCCGTGAGGCCCGATGGTAAGGGCCTACCTCTTGCAGTGTGGGTGTGAGCCGAGGGAACCGTTCTTACATCCAACCTCGGCCTCACCTGCAGATTATTGATTCCGTTCTGTATCGTGTCCTTCTATTTCTTTCTTCCTCTTAGAATCTTTCCGCGATTGGCTTTATAGCCTTAGGACAACGAATGCCTATTTCTACCCAATGTACTTTATCGTCATGAGTTAGAGTCTTCATCGCTATTACGACTACTGTTTCTATTTCCCACGACGTTATTATCTTCGTTCCTTCTTCTTTGCCTAGCTAATCTTCTTCTGCTATTGTTAAGTCTTTCTTGCTTTTCTCTCTCGATCTCTCTCTCTAGATTTTCCTTTTGTAGCATAATACTATTTACAAACGCATTGAAGGATTTCCACTTATCTCTATCTGTACATATAGCTTTAATTATATCTTCTAAAGAGTTACATCCAATTTTATCTAGTGTTTCCTCTCTTTCTGTCTGCCAGCTGCTGCAAGCGAGTAGCGTGTGTTCCGCATTATCGATGGCAGTTTTGCAGTGCAGGCATATCATAGAGTCCGCTTTCTGGATACGATATAAGAACTTCCTAAAACACCCATGACTTGATAGGGCTTGCGTTAAGCGGAAGTTCATCCCGCCGAACGGGCGTTGTAGCCAGTCTGTGAAAGTCTGGCCCGAGATAGCCCTTCCTTAAGATAGTTTTGGGTGTTAGGGTACTTTCCCAGCTGTGCCTCCAGGATTCTATAAGTATGTCATTCTCTTCTTTTTTGATTAGCTTTTCAAGCTGATTTGTCCAGGAGTTATTAGCTCTTAATTCCTGAATTCGCTTATAGATTTCAGCATATTTTCACAGCCACAAGGACCCACGGTGGGGTTCTTGCCAAATTGTGGCGACGTCGAATGAGATCGTGCGATAGCCAGCTATAATCCGTATCGCGATCGTCCTTTGTAGATTTCTAAGCAGTCTCTGTGAGATTTTTCGATTTTCCTAATTTATCACTCCATATTGGAGCTCCATATAGCACAATCGATTGTACAATGCTTGCATATAACTTCCTTTTAGTCTCTTGAGGACTCTTAAGTTCGGGAGAAGCTTGCATAGCGCCCTGTTGACCTTGGTCACTTTTTCGCTTACACATTTAAGGTGTTCCTCGAACTTCAGTTGTCCGTCTAAAATCAAGCCTAAGTATTTCATGCTCTTCTTGAGCTTAATGTCCACATTGTTGATTTTAATTGAAGCTTCTTGTGGAATGCTGCTCTTCCTTTTACAGAAGGCCAGTAATCTCCGTTTTCTCGACGGCCACTGTTAATCCGATTTCTCTAATTCGTTCCAGAGCGCTGTCTGCCAGTAAGCTAGCTTGGATACCAGCTTCTCGGAAGGAAGATCCCGACACAAGTAGCAGGGTATCATCTGCGTAACAAATGATTTCACAGTTTGGATCTTTTTTTATCATTAGTACTGTGTCATATGCAACATTCCAGAGCATAGGCCCAATTACCGAGCCTTGTGGTACACCAGCGGTAACCGGGTAGCGTTGTATATGTCCGTGTATGTCTATAAATTCTATGTATCTATCTTGTAAATAATCATGAAGTATTCTTCTCAGATAGCTTGGAAACCTTTTCTTAACTAACGCGCTTCTAATAGTTTCCCATGGTATACTGTTGAAGGCGTTTTTTTATGTCAAGGCTTATCGCAATGACCATGTTTCCTTTCGCTACGTTCTTCTCTATGTACTGTCTCACTTTGGTGAGAGCGTCAATGGTGGATCTATTTTTCCTAAAACCATATTGGTTATAGGATATGATCCAGAAGCCATCTCTTAGTCTCTTATCCATCCAATCATTGACGCGGTTCATAATGATGCGTTCCAAGATCTTACTAACATCGTCGACCAGGCATATAGGTCTTGCTTTTACCTGTCCGTCTACATAAATATTAGTAGTATTACTTTTTGGGATAAGTACTAATTTTGCTGTCTTCCATAATTTAGGGAATTTACCTTTTCTCATGCATGCGGTAAATATTTGAGATAAGATCTGGGTCATATTATATGGGATATGCTTCCAGGTTTTAATGGTAATCCCGTCGGGACCAGGGGCAGTCGAGTTATTAGCTTTCTCCTGTATGGCTCTATATACCTCGTCCGCGGTAACATCCCAATCATTATCCCATTCGCCAATTCGGACTTTATAGTGTTCTTTGCTATCTATGACCTTAGGAAAGAGATCGGATATAACTTTATTGACTTCTTCTGCACATAGTGTTTCAGTCAGTCCTGGGGCGGATGATCTCAATTTTCCCATGACTAATTTATATGGGATACCCAGGGGTTTTCTTCTATTGTATCGATCAGCGCCTTCCAAGACTCTTCTTTAGCTTTAAGTATCACTCTAGTCAGGATCTTCTTATCTAGTCTATATTTTCTTTCTAATCTTCCTTACTTCATCTGTATCTGCTCTTTTCTTCTTTTTAGCGCGAGTCCCATTTTCTCCTACTTTTGAATGCAAGTTCTCCGTGCATCCTCAACCTCGGAGTTCCACCAGTGGACTTGCCTTCTTTTAGGATGTAATTTTATCCTCTTCATTGACATATCAGAGGCATCTGTCATAATTTTCTTGATCCATGTTGCCGATTCATCCGGATCTATACTAGTCGAGTTCGGATTATTATTGCTAATATATTCTTTGCAGTAGTGTTCCACCGTTTCTACAAGCATATCTGGATCAAAGTCTTTAGATGACCATCTAGGATAACGGAGTCTGTTGGTAGTCTGTCTATTCAATAGCTCCTTGTTTATTCTTTTATCTCCGAGACTGTATTCTATATAATTATGATCGGAGTATGTCATAGCGTTCTCATTGACTCTCCAGTCGTGTATCAGATCAACAGCTCTGGAGTTTGTCCATGTGATGTCGATGACTGAGCTCCCTTGTTGTCTTATACATGTAGGGGCGTTCCCCTTATTCATGAGGATGATCTCGTTGGCAATAGCCCAATTCTCAAGTATCCTGCCTTTAGAACAGGTGTATGTCGAGCCCCAAGCTGTTGACTTTGCGTTAAAGTCGCCACTTACTATTAGATTATGGGGATTCAGCCTTTTAATTTCGTACTCTAGTTCATCTAAGAATTCTTCGAATTTAGTCGAGCCAACCTTAGGCGATATGTAACATGAGAATATTACCGGTTTGACCATACATTATAGCTACAAAACCTTCGCCGGAGGAAATAGCTCTACATTGTGCTCTCAGTAAGTTGGATTTCCAGATTATCGCAGCCTTTTGATCTGAGCTGCTAGCACAATTGTCTGTCGGAATGTGTATTGGTTCCGAGATCACAGCTATAGCTATCTCGTGTTCAACCATATATTGCTGCAGAAGGTTATATGCATCCCAGCAATGATTGAGATTTATCTGAATTAGCTTATGAAATATCATTTTCTACATCCATTTCCGTCCTCCGATCCGGATCGTTACTGTTATAGATATCTTCTTCTTTCCTATTGTAAATATTTTCTTCTCTTCTGTCTTCTCTATTGTAAATATTTCTTTTATTCCTAGCCTCTAACTCTTCCCTGCTAATGCGTGGGAGTGATCTATTCTTGCTGGCGTTGTTGATAGCGCTACAGGCAGCGGATCCTAGTCGATGATTGGCTTTGTTGCCTTTTTCTTCACAAATGATGCAATGTGGATTTGGCGCAGTACAATTGCTGATTCTGTGCGTACTGCTACCACATCTGTAGCAGTGACTGCTACGATCTACAGTAGATGTGCAGGAATATCGCACATGTCCAAAGTTCCAGCACCTGTAACATTGCAGGGGCCTGGCTGGTAGGATCTCTATTTTGGCCACAGTCCAGCCTACTTTAATCTTGCCGGAGGCCGCCACATTATTGGCTGTGCTGGCGGGGCATCGTAGCCAGATGGTGCCTAGGCCGTTGGGCATCCATCTAATATCCCCTGCTTTTATAGTATCAGGGTTGCATTTATCTAGATCTGCTATGATCTCCACGATCTCTTGTTTGGTGACTGAGTCGTCGAGATCTGAGATTTTAATATCCGCCATGGCAGTTGGTTGAGATATCCTAACGTTATCTCTATCCGGCAGGATTTCTTTTAATTTGTTAGCCAAGTTGGTAGCTTTGGTGGTATTTCCTTCACCAGAAATTTCTATTATTATACCTCCATTGATTCCTTTACGAATTTTAGAGGCGTCGATTCCTATGGTAGGTAGGGAGATTTTTTCCCTCGCCTGTCGTAGGATCTCGGCATACGAGATTCCTTCTTTCACTGTAATGGTGACAGCTGCCGTCTTAGGAACCTTTTTAGTTCTAGTCTGGCTGCGGTCATTCCTAGATGAGCTGCTCTTATCTTTTGGTGGAGTGCCTTTGAAGCCTTTATTTCCAGACTGTAGATCTCCTCTATCTTTAGCTTTAGTATCTTTTTTCCTAGTTCTTTTCTGGACGACGTTCCACCCTTCATCGTCCCGTGTCTATTTTATTCTTCACCGAAGGCCTAGGTGGAGCAATTTGAATATTGCTAATAATCCTAGGCTTGCCTTTCCTTTGAGGCCTATTCTCATCCTCAGTTTCTGTTTCTTGCTCTCTGTCAGTACATTTCTTTCCTTTTTCTTTAATCATTTGCTTCTTTTTCATCATTAGCTTTTTAATTTCCTTAGTAATACTGTCGATCTCTATATCCTCCGAGCTCTTATGAGGATTGACCGAGCTGACTGGGGGCGGGGCTTGGATTAGGGGGTTGGTGGAAGATAGCACTTTACGTACTCCTTGAAGTGGAGGTCGGAGTGCTGGCCATTCCTTGTCCAAGTCCTCCAAAGTCTTTTTACTCATAGTCTTATTCGTTACATCTAAATTTCTATCTGCAGCCCAGAGCTTAGCCTCAATTTCTTCATTTTTCTTTGTTAGAGCTAGGATCTCATCTTCATATCTATTCTTCTCGATCTTCCATTTAGCTTCTTCTTTTTCTAGACACTTAATTTTCGCATTAAGCTCCTTTGACTGCATTTTGTGGTAGATAGGATCTCCTCTTTCTTCAGCCTTTTCAGCCAGGCAATTAACGATATCACCTAGACTGATAAGTCGATCCTTTATAATACCACTGAGTCTTCCTTGAAGATTTCCACTACTTTTACGGATTTGTTCAACGTGGTCGATCCACTCTAATGCAGAGCTCTTTAGTTCCGCGATAGTCATGCCTTGTAATTCTACCTCTGTTTTTTGCGTCTTATTTGGAAATTTACCAAGGTTTTTACCTCTGGTTGAAAAGGACTTAGCCGGTTCCTTGAAGCCGTGCGCTTCCGTAGAGGAGCCATCCTCTAGTTGTTTCTTCTTACCGGCGGATGTACAGTAATCGCGATCGTCATTTTTTCTCTTTCTGTCAACCGATCGAGAGGTTGCAGAGGATATGTTGGACGCAGGAGATGCACAAGACCTTGCGTCGTCGTCGCTACCATCGTCGTCTCTAAAAATTTTCGTAGAGGAAGACTCGAGATCCATGGCGAGGTCGTCGTCGCCAATACTCGTCCTGCTAGTGCAGGATCTCAGTCTCCTCTTGGTAATGTCATCAGCGGACGCAACATTCTCCGCTAGCCCCGCCGGCAAACTAGCGGTCGGCCCTTCGACGGATGACGACCCGGGGAGAGCAGGGTCCACACCCTCCCCGTGCCGGTCGCTGTGGGATCCGAAGCCCACTGCGGCACTAAACTTTTTTCCTTCTTCGTTGTGCTCCATGTTTTTTTCTTTTTAGTTTGGCTATTGGATAGAGGGGAGCCACCCCATGAAAAATATAGAGGGGGAATCTGGGGACAACGGGGAAATGAAAAGGATGAGGGGTAGGGGTGGAACACATGCGCCAGATGCGCCAATCACACATACACACACACATTCACACACCAGGAATTGGGAGTAATAGGTCCATGGGGAGGAAAAGGAGGTAAGGTTGGGATGGGTAAGAGAGCCAGAGAAGGGATATCTAGGGATAGGAGCATGAACTGGGGAGTAAAAGAGGATTGGGGTGTTTTTCCACCCTTCACGGGATCCTCAACCCGGGCGATTGCAGTCAGGGCCGCCTACCCCTATGCGCATCAGGCCAGAGTGCCCGGAGGGAGCGCAGCCCCCCTTCCTCCCTTCCGGGGAGGGAAGTGCAATGCAGGCTCTTGGTCACCGTCCCCCGGTCCCCGGGCCCCCCCGACACGAAAGTGTCGAAGTGGGGGCCCGAGAGACCCACCGGGCCCCCCCGACACCTAGGTGTCGAAGTGAGGGGCCCGATGGGCCCGGAGACCGGGGGGCGGCTAAGCCCCTCCACCACGTCAAGGTGGCCTGCAATCGGAGGAGAACCTAACCTAACCTAACCTAACCTAACCTAACCTAACCTAACCTAACCTAACCTAACCTTTTTTTTTTTTTTTTTTTTACGAGAGAGGAGAAAATGCAGTTACGCACCCCCTGGTCCCCGTAGACCAGGGGAGTGTGGGACTCGGCCTATTTAACGGCCCCTACCCACTAAAAACTCCTCTCTATGCGTCCGTCAGGTCTGGACTTGACTCCCGAGGGGTTCCCGCGTCTGCATAAGATCCACCTCGGGAGTCGTGTCCGTTGGACTTGCGTCCTCGTCCTCGTCGGGCATCCTCTGTCCAGTGTATGTGTAGTGTGTGTATAAAGTGTATATTGGCGTGCGCCTGTATATAATGAGTGAATGGTGTGTAATTGTGCGTGTAGTGTGTGTATGCGTGTAGTGTTGAGTGCGTGAATGTTAGTGTGCGTGTATATGAGCGAATGATTGCCCCTCCCCCCCCCTTTATCCCTCCCCTAATCCCATCCCTCCCCCCCTACCCTCTCCTACCCCACCCTCCTCCCTACCAATGTCCCCAACTCGATAAATGTCCCTGGTATGAGTGTCAGTGTGCTTGTGTATTATGAAAAATGAGTGAATGAAAAACCCCCATCCCTTCCCTACCCCAACTCCCCTCCTACCCTACCCCGCCCCCATCCCTGTCCCCCCTAGTATGATCCCCCGCCGTATTGTATATGTGTATGCGTGTGTGTGTTTGGACCGTCACGTCAAGGTATGTATATGTGTCTTAAGTTAGTGTTTCCATTAGTCGTGAATCAAAAATTAGTCTAATTCGAAATTTCGCCGAGTCTTTCTCTGGCTCTTTCATCTTCTTCCTTGGAAGACATCACCTTTTCTGCAAATTCAAGAAAGGCGTCCCAGTTTTCTACTGATTCTAAGATTTGCTGAATCACAGATTTCAAAGAGAGATCATCACCAATTGAACTAGTTAGTAATTCTCTCTCATCATTCCACTCCGGACAAGTCTGGAGTGTGTGCTCCGGAGAATCGTCTTCTGCTTTGCAGAAGGGACACAGAGCAGAGTCGGCTTTTCCAATGCGATATAAATAAGTGCCAAAGCACCCATGTCCTGTAATTATTTGCGTCATGTGGAATGTCAACATTCCAAATTGTCTATCTAGCCAATGATCGAAATGCGGTAGTACGGCTTCCAATGTACGTTTACCGGCAGCATCGTTACGCTGCAGATATAGCTTCCATTGTCTGCGTGCCAGAAGCAATTCATCCTTTTTGATTTCTTTTTCTTCCAGAGGCGTCCACATATCGTACCTTTTTTAGGTCGCTAACTCGGGAATAAACTCGTCTGAAATATGCCGCGTGGATGGGCGTAGGCATTACTCGTGCTAATAATAGGGCTGCGTCGGCGGAGACTGTGCGATATCCGGAAATGACCCTTATCGCAGTCATTCGTTGCACCCGTCGTAGCAGATCCTTAGACTTCTGGGTGTATGAAGCCTCGCTCCAAATTGGAGCTCCATAATTTATTATAGAGGCAATTGCATGTGCATAGAGTCTCCTTTTCTTCTCGGTAGGGCCCCTTAAATTGGGCATGATGTTACACAGTGCCCGAATTACTTTCGATACTTTCCTTTCCACGTAAAGGAAATGATCGATGAATTTCCATGCTCCGTCAAGAATGAGACCTAAGTACTTTACACTACTTTGCAATTGTATCCTTTCGTGACTCACGTTGATAGAATATGAATCATTGTATAAATCATTGTACATATTAATATTATTATTAGGATTAACTCTAGGTTTAGGTAGTCTAAGATTAAATAATATAGCTCCCGTTTTACCGGGAGCGATCTCAAGTCCGAGCTGTCGAATTCGGAGCAACACTCGGCTCAGCTGAAGATTTATCCGAGCTCTAGCTACTTCGATGGTTGGAGCCCTGGCAAGGACCAAAGTATCATCGGCGTAACCGATGATGATACAACCTTCTTCCGTGGGGGTACGAAGTACACCATCATAGGCAATGTTCCACAGGGTCGGTCCAAGGACCGACCCCTGCGGAACACCAGCCGTTACATTTTTAATTTGTGTTTTATCACCCATTATTGAGTATTCAATCTCACGATCCGATAAGTAACTACGAATGATCCTCCGAATATAATTCGGGAAACCTCTCTCCTGTAGTGCTTGCCTGATGTTACACCATCTTATCGAATTAAATGCGTTCGTAACGTCTAAGCTAGCTCCGATTACTACTTCGCGATCTTGGCGAGCATCGAGTACATACTCACTGACGATATTCAGAGCATCACAGGTGGACATCTTCCTACGGAAGCCGAACTGATTGGCAGAGAGATTGGATATTGGGTGTGTCCTCATCCATTCATAGATACGCTCATTTATTATGCGCTCCAAGACTTTACCTAATTCACTCAATAGGCAAATTGGACGAACTTTAGGATTGACGAGATCTAATTCCCCCTTGGGAATAAGAATCAGGATCGAATTCTTCCAAACTTTGGGAAATTCCCCTTTCTTCATATATAACGTATAAATTTTCCGTAGATGTTCAAGGAAGGATGTGGGCAAGTGCTTCAGAAAGAAGGCTTTGATCCCATCTTTGCCGGGGGCTTTATTGACGCTAGATGATCTGCGCAATACAGTGCATAATTCCTCCAGACTTACAGAATACTCGTCTATCCATTCGTCCTCTTCTACTGTTGGAGGGATATTGTCAATATTCCAAAGAGGATCTGTAGGGAATAGTTTCTCAATAGTGTTATCGAGGATGTTCGGATCCATCATTTCAGTAATACATGGAGTAGATCTACGAAGCTTCTTCAGTACGATCCTATAGGGTAAACCCCAAGGATCTTGATCGATGGTATTAATAAGATCATTCCACGCGTCAGTCTTAGCTCGTTTAATTGCGTTTGTAAGCTTTTTCTTATGTGTCCTATACAATTCTTCGTATTCCAGAATTTCATCTATCGATTTTCTAGATCTTTTCTTGGCTCGCTGCCAACGTCGTCGAGCGGATAGACTCGCTTTTCGTAGCTCTGCAATGTTAGAGTTCCACCAATACGCACAGTTTTTGCGCATTGGCTTAGCTCTCGGCATTGCAAAATCACAAGCATCAGTTATTATTTCTTGAGCCCATTTTGCAGACAAAGTGTCTTCCGCCGTGGGAGTCAATCCAGTACATCTCCATTCCAGAGCTTCCTGGAATTTATCTTTGTCAAATTTCTTGTATGCCCACTTAACGTATCTTTGCTTTTTGCGAATATCACTCGTTCCACCATCCATAAGTATCACATAAGAGATATATCTATGGTCCGAAAGGGTTTCTTCATCGAGTATAGACCATCCACGGATCCTCGGATCAAGTGAGGAACTCACCCATGTGAGGTCAACAATAGATGTTCCTTGATGCCTCACACATGTAGGTTGCGAGCCTCTATTCACAATACTTAGTTCGTAAGAAGCACTCCATCGAGCCAGTCGGTCGCCTCTGGAGTCAGTCAAAGGGCATCCCCACAACATCGAGTATGAATTAAAGTCTCCTCCGATAAGTATGTCCGAGTCTGTCATTTCCACACACTCACCGAGCTCATCAAGAAACTCCTCAAACGTATTATTATCGCAATTAGGAGAGATATAGCAAGAGACGATCAATATATCTCGCCAAAGCACAGCTACGGAGAAACTGCCTATCTTTTTGACTATTCCAATACATGAAGTGTGTTGCATGTTGTAGTGGATGGCAGCCGTGCCGGTTCCATTAGCCACCCACGTAACGTCAGAAGGTATATAATAGGGTTCCGAAATAATGGATATTCCGATCTTATGATCAATCTCCGATTGCATGAGGAGATCCTGAGCAGCTCGACAGTGATTTAAATTTATTTGTAATATCTTAGTCATAATTATACTGTAAATAGGTAGATAGTAATAAGTTGCTGTACATATGTAAATAGTTAATAGTTAATACAACAACCCACTACAATTCTTCCATCTCGACCTCGTCCGTCCTCCTATCGGGCGAGTTGATTCTATCCGGTGAGTCAATCCGTGATGTAATCTGATCGTGTGAAGTGTCCTCAGATGCTGCTTCTGCCTTATAGAAGGCAGGCTTCCTGTCAGATGATGGGACAGTTATACCAGTACATCTAATAGAACCCATGCGGTGATTATAATCCTTTCCTAAGTCGGAGCACAATATACATCGAACCTGGTTCTTACAGGTAGACACGGAGTGTCCTGTCTTACCACAGCGGAAGCAGGAACCACTATGGTCTTTGCTCGACTTGCAGTTAACACGCACATGTCCTATTTGCCAGCATCGATGGCATTGAAGAGGGCGCTTCTTTAAAGACTCCACTCTAACAGTGGACCATCCGATTGGTATTCTTTTCTTTTCGGT